AATAGTTTCACGATTGATAGGTTGTCTGTAATGCATAAAACTTCCTTATGCAGATTTTTTTCAGAAATAAATATTTAAATGAACAACATGTATGTTTTGCAAAAACGCTAACAAGCATATTCTACACCAATTTTACTCAAACAATATTTACTATAGTTTCACTGTAAAAAAAAACTTTATTTTCAATGTAAAAGGACGCGGAGTCGAATGTGCGCAATTAAAAAGATAACTACCAAAAGGTTCCGATTATAACGAGTGGGGCGCGGAACCCCAATAATGAAATTCGCCCGACAAAAGCGTCGCGAAAGTACAAGTTCAATCATCGCGCCGCAGTACTTGCCAACCAACAATTCTTTGTTTTCAAACGCAACAAAAAGACAGCTGCGCCCCAGACGGGCGTTCCTCTTTGACTTGTCATAATTTACAGCTCTCTCTGTTACGACGAAATTTATTTAATTTATCTTTATCTGAAATTTTGGAAAAAAATAGAGTATCCCGCCCGTAACAATATGCATCAAACCGAAATTAAAATTCGAATGTACTGAAAACCCAAAAGAATGGGAAGGGGAAGTAGCTTTGACCGTTGAGGGGAAGTTCCCTCCTCCGTCAATAAAAGGTAGTCATCGCTTCAGCAATTGCAAATATCTATGAATAGCGGTCGCTTCCCCTTTCGGCGAATTCAGTGGCCGTATAACGACACAAAAAAAAAACACTCACGATGTTATGACTTTATTTACCGTTAATTATAATAAATAAGAAATAATTATATTATAGTTATACATAAGCCTACTTAATAATAAAAAAATATAAAAACGTAAAAACAACAGTGTAGCGATATAACAAACACGCACATAAACCAAACCCAATATTTGATACTAAGTGACATGAAGGTACAACAAATTATTCAACAAATCTTCGAAAACTTAAACATCAATAACTTATTATACAACATGTATAGTAGACGAAAAAATTTATCCGCACACAAAGAAGTTTAACAATAATACGGTAAACACTTAATAGCGCTATAAAAACGTCAGCACAAAAGGTACAGATAATATAAAAAAAATATTAAAGTCGGTAAAAATGCCCACTTATGATGTAACCTTACAGTTGTAATATATACGAAAACTATAAAATATTTATCCAAAAAAAATTGTTTTATAAAAGCAACACGAAAAAATAAGATATGTTATTATTTAAGATCCATAATATGAATCAACACGGGTATTGTTGCAAATAACCCTCGACGCGGCGCAGAGTAATGAGAGGCTGAGGGGGAAAACACAAAATGGCGGCGCTTCATTTGTCGGAAGCATTTATTTAAATTTGGATGTTACCGGGGACGACGAGTTGCGAGTTCTAATTGATCGCCACTCAATCGGTTTAACCGAGTGTTTCCATTGCCAAAACATCTGTATAAAACATGTCATCCCTTTCATACTCGACGAGAAGAACAGAGATAACAATATGTTTTCATACAAGTTTTTCGACAGTGGAAACCCACGGTAAGGTTTATAATTACCAATAATTATCATGGTTCCAAGACCATATCCATCGCCGTTGCTTCCATCCCTGTTAAAAGCTCATAAAAACGAACACATATTGCACGAAAAAAGAAAATTGTCGTACATGGTTCATAATTAAAAATAGATTTAATTTGAATAAATGTGTTAACTTTTTTGTAAATTAATGAAGAAAACTAATATAAAATGTCAATTACGTTGCTGGAAATCACAAAAGAAATTGAAACGTAGTCATAAAAGTTATTGATTTTTAATGGCGCTTACCTGTGAGACGTAGTATCGCCGACAAAGGACAGACGAGACGATTAACGACGCAATTTGCTTTACTTTTTGCTACAAATATGGCTATGAATCAACTATTTCGCGTCCTAATAGCAAACACTTTTGTTCTAAGTCGCTATGGACATAAAAATTAATTGATTTTAATAACTCTCCGCAACAAAATACACGTAATTTCGTCTCGCTACCCGTCGAACACTGTACAGGGGTGTAGCTTCGCGTCGACGCCGGGGATGCGGGAGAGGGCGCTCGGAGAGGGAACGAGAGCCAGTCAATATCAATAAATACCTACCTTTTCAATAGGGGTTCAGACTGTCTGGGCGGCGGCGAGGGACGAGGGTCTGGGAGCGAGGGACGAAGGGCGGAGTGCGAGCAACGGAGTGCGGGGAGCGAGGGTCAAGGGACGGGAGGTGACGGACGAGGGAGTCGTATTGTATTTCAGCACCAAACGACGTGCCCTCTGGCAGCGACACATCAAGAGGGATCATAATATTAATTAACTTAGGTATCGACAGAAAAACATATATTTGTGCTATCGTTGATACTTTAATTAAAATTACATTGTCATTCCTATATTCCAAAAACACTCATAACAGAGTACCTTAAACTATGATTAAAAATACAACTTACTATAACACTGAAAATATAAAAATGTAGTTTAACAAAATATACATATATTTTACCAATGAATCATGAAGTAACTTATACGTTAGATTTCTAAAATAATTCACTGCAAATTCAAAAAACCCTAAATATGAAACCAATACACATTTATGGTTTAGTATTTATAGTACAAAAGTACGTGTACACGAATTTGGGAAACAAGTGCTTTTCAATATTGTTTTCAACATCAACTTACACGCAAAACTCTGTCTCTCAAACATTTCCTTCCACATTCATTTCAAACATCTTGTTACATGCCATTCATCGTTCTTTATTACAAACTCATACCATCCTTTTGTTGCTTATCCCAATAGCGCTATATCCAACGCTCGCATTCAATTAAAAATGTAAAGACCATAAATCAAAAACCAAACAGCTCGCAATAGGAGCTCAAAAGAATTTACGCTCATATTTCAAGTTAACGAATAGAATTCAGAAAAAAACAATTTAAATCTTAAAATATAGTAAATACTAGTAACCTTAATTGGAACGGTAGTAGGTACAAAAATTTACCATCATAATATTCAATAGTAGTCCCGAGATTCAAAACACTTAATTTTTAATTTAAACGCACCGAAATAAAAAAGCGCATTTATCCAAGTGATAAAATATAAATCGCAAATATTCAAGGACACCTTCACCAACATTGAGCTCAACGTCTCAAGGATCACCTTAGAATTTCATTAACATAGAAACTTACCTTTATACTGACGAAAAGAAGAAATGTATAATATATAGACTAAAAATTGTCTCTTTTTTTGAACATACTATAATTATTTGAAACTTTCCAAACAGCTCCGAACCCTCAACGGATTCGACGAACGATCGGAAATCCGTACCCTTAACCGCGCATCAAGTTCAAATCGAGACAGAATAATCGTCTCAAAAGTCAAAGTCTACAAAAATGTTAACCTAACCCATTAAAATATGGGTGTTGCGTTTCGAAAGAAGGAATTAAAAAAGGTATGTTCCCAACTTACTATTCTAAGGTATGTTGAGGCACGAGCTCAAAAAGCAAATGGCGAATTAAACTGCAAAGTATATTGTTTTTTGATTTGGTGATAGATATTGCATTTTATCAAGTAACAAAATTTATATGTCCAATAACTGCAGTCTACATAGCCTTGGTACAGTATGAACTTACTAATTTAGTTTGCTGCTTACAAATAATTAATGATCCTCGCGCATGCGAGGGCTGGAAACATGACTTTCAATTAGCTTAAATGTCATGAAGATAAGTCACTAAAACATGCATACCATACCATAAATTGGTATAGCCATGAAACAAATATTAGTGCCATCGATTGGGACGGTTCAATTGATGTTTCAAAAGGTTATCATTTACAAACAATAAAAGATTTTTTATGTGTCGCGGCTACTTCCTTAAATATTCTTTGTCGAGTTTCAATTCAGAATGAGCCAATAATAAAAGCAGTTTATTTAGTTTTCGATGGTGACAAATAATCAGTTTCGATGGGTGCAGGTTAATAGACGTAGTAGGCTAGATAAATCGCGACGGTGCCGAAGTATGACGAAATTGGACACCGAGATGGGCTGGGTGAAAAATGTTGGCCCGGCTAGAGCGAGGTGGTCGCCTGAACGATTTGACAGCGTGAAATTGTATCTCACCGTAACATCAATTTCACCCCCCCCCCCGTTACCGTGTTTGGCCTGGGATTTTATTACGCATCCGAGTTTCAATTTATGTTTCTATACGAGTATCGAGATAACGTTTGATTTAAATTATTTGTTTTCAGTTACAATCGAAATCATAAATTTAAACATTAGCTAAAGAATAATTTGTTATCTGATATTTTAAAGTCAAAAAGCAGGACAGGAAATATTTTTTTTTTGTAATAATTTTGACAATTGTGTAGGCGCGGCCTCTCTTTGTTGCCCGGCAATGACTCTTAATAATAAATCTTTTTAAGTCTGTCCAACAATAGATAAATTGCGACGACCTTACTTAACAATAATCTCAGGCTGAAAACAAAAAGTATTTTCCTACGATATTTACTAAGAATGTTCAACAGAACGTGTCCTAAATCGTAATTCAGCGATTTAACAGTCGCGCAAATAGAATAAAGCAATATACAGAGAATAAACTTCCTTTATTCTTCATCTTAGATGTGTAACGAATTTTCTGTGACCATAAAGTCATTACGTACTAGCGATCTTGTACTTTTGTGTAACACGCTAAGTAAGATGGTTATTGTTGACATAACAGATGATAAATCGATGAAATCAATAGTTTTCGCACAAAAAATATGTTTTCCGCATGAAATTCCGAGTTAAAGAAGCCTAACAGTTCAACCTTTAAATTTGGACACAGTTATTTGCGTCGACATTTGAACCTATATCTCAGTTAGGAAAAAAGAAATTTTGTTTCGCAGAACCTGCATCATAGTGTATCCCACACGCGCGGGTCAACGTGCCGGACGAGTAAAACAAAGTGGTAGCTTATCTCTAAGACACTGTATTTTTAAAAGCGGCAATAAATTAAGCGTCTCACGAGTTCGTAAGTGAAAAGGATACATTTCCTGGAAAAAGTCGAGGCTGGGCGGCTGCAGGATGTCTAGTGCCGATAGTACCTGTGGATAGAGAACACAAATTAACAACCATATCTATTAGGAATAATAATTAAAAATTTAAAGGCTAAAAATACAAAAAACTTAAGATAAATTACACACTAGAGTATTTTTTCGAGCATTTCTATGTAATGTAACGTTCTTATGAATGGTATAATACAGGTAAAAGCATAGTTTTCAAAGCACGTGTGGTTCGTGAAAGGGTGACACACTAGAACATATAGAGCGGTTCGTTGTTCTGTTTCATGTGAATGCTCTATCTATACCTAGTCTAGTATATATTCACCTTTATGTAACATACTTTGTTGTTTGTAATGATCTTCTTATAAAATTTAAATAAATGATGACACCATTCAGAAGAAAGCTGTAATACTGACAATTTTATTTAACATATCATAATGGTAGAAATAGAAATCAAACGACGTCTGATTCACACCGTACGTATTACACAAACTAAAATGTAATTATAACCCGTGCACCGACTTCAAATATTTCCATGTAAAATTATACATACACGTGGATAAACTCTATCACTACCACTGCATTTGTAATGCTAAAAACACTAAATATTACGAGAATGTGTGATGTACCGCGCTTGTTTAGGTCTCAAGTTTCACAAAACTACGTCATAACACACTATAAAAATCCATAGCAGTTAGTAACGAATAAGAAAATTGATACTAGCTATTTTGTGCTTGCTTTCTACACAACATACAGAGAATTGCCATAATAACATTAACATTTAATACTATCCTAATTTTTCTTTTTTTTTAGAATAAATATGGCTTGAATCCTTTTCTTCTTCATAATAAATATAAGTTCATTAAGGCCAAGAGAAAACTACTTTGATTATATTACCAGTTTGTGACTAAACCAACAGGAAACGTAACATTGTCCTTTGTGATGTTTTTGCTTTGTCTACAACTTTAATATTGTTTTTCTACGCGTCTTGTTTGCTCATAATAAGGCAGTGTTTCACATCCAGGAATGAATCACGTAAAGTTGAAGTGATTTACGACTTCTTTCGTCGAAAATTAGAAAATTTAACACAAAATTTCCTTTGTTGACATTTCATGTCCTTTGGTTCTAACAAACGTAAAGAGAACGCATATTATATTTAATTTCTGTTGCTTAACAATTATTTCAATTTAACAATTAACTCAGTTGTAACATTTAGAAGACCGTAGTCGTTTTTGGCGTAATGTAGCCAAATATCGCTTGACTTTACCAATTAATTTCATATTTAGCATCTTCAAAGAAACGTGGTTCTTTTTCTGAGATATATTCGTACGTTTATCTCGTGAAGTTTGTCGTAATAAAAATAGTGTATATGCGCCACAAACTAACACGACGTCAGGAGCGTCGCGGCGAGCACGGCAGCGAGAGAGCGGCTAAGCCCTAATGAAACCTGAGAGTGACGCGTAATTTGTCGTCACAAAGCAGTCACGCAGTATAATACGGCCCGTCATACTGAGGATCCAATTTTCTCGTTTCAGTGCAAATCCTGTTTATACGCGACGTTAAATGATCGCTAACCGCATACAATACACCTCGATCGATAGACAAACGGGAAAATGAATAAATTATATGGCCGGGCCGCTTTACAATTATATCGCGATAATGAATGAGCTGCATTACCATGATAATAGCCTACTCAATAAAATCAAAATGGCGGATGATTGAAAAATTGACTCCCTCGTGAAGTTTTCGCTTGTTCGGTTCAAAGCGAAAATTGCGTAGGTCGGCTGAACTCCCATTTTATTATATCGGACAATGGAAAATATTCACTCAATTCAGTTGTAACATTTAAAATAACACTATTTATATTTATATTATATTTCAGGAATAAGTGTCGAATAAGAATACTTTTTGGCTAAATTGGCGATTTAATGAACTATCGTAACGTAGTCATATACAGTCTTTAGTGCCCAGCAAAATAAAAATCTTTTTTGTGATTGTTGGTAGTTGGTTGGTTTGTTGGTAGTGGTTCTTGTTGGTGTATTAGCAGTACTTACATTCTCGTGTTTGAAGAAGCAGAGCATCTTGAGCTCGCGGAAGACGCGCTTGGAGGAGACGAGCGACTGGAACACGTTGGGCAGCTTCTTGAGTGCCACGCGCCGCCCGTCGCGCGGGTCCGTCACCGCCCTGACAACAAACAAAACATGTTAATAATGAATATTGAAACGAAAAATACAATTATATTAAACTTATTGACGTAGGATTTCTATCAAATATTATGAAAAAAACATTCATAAAAATAAATAGGAACCAGGCAAAAGATAGGTCCCTTAGATATTTATACTCAAACTATATTGCTAACGCGCAGTAAATCAATCAAACTGCATATTTAAAATGTCGGAAAGATTCTTAGAATCATTGATTCATTACTCATCTCCAAACAAACGTGTCAATTTAGTAATAAAAATCAACTTCTTATACCGACACCGGATTCACCAAGTTAACTTGGTCACGTACTGTGCAACTTGAATCTAGGAAACTGAGCTCTGTTCTATAAATTATCTACATCATAACTTTCCTTCTGAATATCTATTAACATTCAATACCACAGACATAACACATAAATTTGTATAATTTTACTTAAAATAAACTTGAATTTTATTCAAACAACATATCTAAAAGGGTTTCATTATTATCAATGTAATAAAAGTAAACAGCTCCCAAATGTACAGATGGTTTTATCAAAGCTTGCAAATACATATTCCACTGTACTTGATCCCTCCCCTGTTCGATAACATGACAGTAATCGCCGGCGGGGCGCGATACCATCCGCGCAGGGGCAATGGGGATGCCATAACCCGCTACAACCAAACCCGACTCACGATACAATCGGTAGCTATTTAAAAACAAACGACCATCATTGTTCTTTGTAACCGTTTCCATTGTCAAATAACTTTAAAACATTTTGCCATACCTCTCAACTCTTTGAATAAATTAAAGACAGTACAACATTTACTGGAATAGAATTTCTCGGTAAAAAAATTATAGACTAACCAAAACGTTCATATTAGTAGTATAAAACCATTAAAAGGAATTCCTGTTCAACTTGATGCTACAATGTTAAAGTTTACCGAATAATATTTAGCATATTCCCTTTCAGCACAAAATTGCGCTATAGAGATTAATATCTACATGATTTGGGGGTCATTTAACATCCCTCCCTTTAAAAATAAAGGGCTAGAGAAAAGGGTTTTGTAACTGACATGTAATCATTTTAATCATCGTGGAAAATAAACCCATATGAAATAGGCGAGGGTTGTATTAATACGGGCTGTAACTTGAAGGGTACCTCGCCGTTACTCCCAAAGCCCTAAACTTTCCTGATCAATGCCTTTCACAAACGAGAACTTTATTTTCGTTTCGCGGAGGTGAAATAATAAAAATAGTCGCTACAAAAGTCCGAGTTTCAACATTGAAAACACCTTGGGGCGTAATTTAGAAACAGTGTTTCAGCTTTGCCCGGGGTCACTTAGCATACTGTTACTAACTACATACTAAAATACGCTACAACTTGAGTATAATTTATATCAAAAGTTTTTAGCATGCATACTGCGTGCATACTTTAAAAGCGAACATTTATTTCTTAGATAAAACAGAGTATCTTACAGAAATTTGAATTAATGAACAAGAATTAGATAATTTATATAATTTGACTCTTTATTCATTTGTACAAAGTAATTCTTGAATTTTAATTGTCATTTGGCAGCATTGTTATCTCTGTTTTATTTTAAGATAACGAAAGAGATGCCAATTGTTATACAAGTGTTAAGGCAATGAAAACTCATCTAATTCTGCCTGCCTTGCTTTAGAGTTAGCGAACAATGACAGGAAATGTGCGACGGGTCGCGGTGCATTGGTAAAGGTCAATAACTCCCAGGAGCCACGCACCATCATTCAATGTTAATAGCTGTCCGAATGGACGCGCAATTGTTAATAGCAATTAATGACTGCGGAATAATTAACGATAACTAGTTTTGGCAACGTTAAATGGACACATTAAACTGTTGTTACAATCTATACACAGTACATACCTTTTTATTTGAGATAGTTTTTGAAGGAAAATATTTTAACAATACAAAAATTCTATCTTGAAGTCATCGAACAGACTGTTAGATACTGAGTGTCTTACCGTCAATTTTGAGACCAAAATCCCCGTTTATACTATATTGTTATCTCTGTTTTTTTTCAACTAATGATAAGGATGACAATATGTTTTATACAGAGATTTTGGTGTCAGAAACCTACGGTTAGTTAGTCTTTTGGTGGTTAATGTCTTGTACTAGATATCCGTTAAACCTTTAGACATTTCGGTTTTTGAATTTGTTCGTAATATAAGGTTTATTATTATAAAAATGACTTTGTAGTCACATAGTAATAAGCGTTGTGCGTGCTTATATCGCTCGGAGACGCTTTAGATTGTTTGTATAACGGTTTGTCACGCGTTCAGTTTATTATGTTTGGTGTATCTTATTAACCAGCTTTGTTTTTATTAGGGCCATTTCACACCAATCATTAAATCGATACAGCTCTTTTGCAATCATATTCACAGTACAGGACTACATCCCTTTGTGTTAATTGCGTGAATTCTTAAAAACACTAAGTACGTGTGTCATTTTTACGCGTAAAGCATTGAATTTAGGCTATACTTGTAAAGTACCAAAACAATAACAATAAGCCAGATGAAATAATTTATAAATAAAATGAATTATAGCAATTCCTTAGTAAGTTTAACTTCGATCAAGTTGGATTAACAAGCAGCAGAAAGGCAAACAAGAGGTTTGAGAAATGTTCGTAAACAATCGATGTAAAGTTCCAGTGCTGCGAGCACTGGCCTTTGAGAAATCACCTCAAATATTCGTCACTACAACTGCATTTTAATTGCACATAGAAAACTTCATTAAGTCTTCAGAGAATCAGTTATTTGTTAGTTAACTAATGTACTCTAACAGCAATATGATTCATTTTACCTACACACTTTACGGGTAACACAGGAAATAACGTTTGGTCAGCTTCAATGTATAAAACTAAATTAAGTTTAGGTCTTTAATTCGAAATAAGCTACCTCGTACACATGAACGTTTTACCACAAATGTTTCCACATGGAGTGTTATGCACATATTACAATTTCCAATTTTAAAACGATAGAAAACTATAAAAGGGTTAAATGTTCATTGTGAACCGACCCTTACTCACGCAGTAGCGTGGAAGCGTGACGCCGGGCCTTTACCACCGCGCTATCGTGTAACTAGATTATACAGCGGACTCACCAGGCCCTCCTGTTTACACAGGTTTCGAGAGCAAGCGACCATCTCTGCTATCTGATTGTACTTGTATTTATGTAACCTTATACAGGTGGATTCAAAACTCAACATAGTTTGTTAACATTTCAATTGAACTGACCCTTAAAATCAACATCAGTCTAGGAAAAAATTGTATTTGCATAAAAAAAATATTAACTCATAAAATTAGTAATAAATAGAACGTGCATATATTAAAATGTTAAGTTCTAAAAGTAATTCATTTGTTCAGCCTTAAACTAATTTTGGAAGCAATTAAGTTGAATGTTGCAGTCACGAAGCTACATCGTCAATTTTCCTCGTAAAGTTGTTACACTGTAAGGCCCTTCGTACATAAGATAACGTAAATTTTTGAAACCTGACGAGTTTAGTCGCTAAGCGACTTTCATAAGCTATGTCATAGAAGTTCGTACATAGCACGAGTCGCCGACATTTCACTGTATTCGCCAGTCATTCGCTCGCAACCTGTTTGTCCAGATTGTCATGAGAAAAATCGCTGCAATGACGATCAAACTTTCAATATTAGTTCGACGATTTACGTCGCCTTGTATACGAAGGCCTTAATCTCAGTACATGAAAAGTACAGTCAAACTGTACAAATCAACACCGAAATGTACTTCGGATATCATGTAGTTCAAGTACAATGTAACACTATAAATTATAAACCGCTATAGAAGAGAATAAAGATATCAAATTGATTACATTATTAAAGGTCATTGACACGCCAACATTTATACTTTACGATATAATCACATTAGTAACATTCTTACTTAACTAATAATTATTATTTAAAAACGTCTTCAAATGTAGACAACTGCCAACTGTGTTACAAGATGGGTAGCGTCTGTTTAAACATTACCCAACTAGCCGTAAGCCTGAGATAACAAGAGACCTTTTTCCAGTGCTTCACTAAACAATATTTCAGAAAACAACGGGAATAAATTATACATACAGCAGTACTGCATACAATGAGCCGTGCCCCGTATGAATACGTAGTTATATGCATGCAATCTTAAACACTAAATGTGCCATGGCAACGTTTGCAATATGAGATACGTTCTTGCTTACTTTTATTTAATCACTAGCTGATGGTCGGAACTCCACCCGCGAGGAATTGAAAAAAAACCTAATAAGTAGCCAGTTTTTCTAGACTATGTTCTATACATGTCCATAGACTATATTCTGGAGATACCTTCAAACATCCATCCATCTAATCATTCGCATTTATAATATTAGCAAGACAAGATTAGTAAGACATACGTGAATGTAAAATAAAAGTAAGTAAATAATTTTAATAACTAATAGTCTCACTTTTTTAATGAATTCAGAATTTGTCTTTTTATATTATGTCAATGTTAGGATTGTTACGGAACGTAAATAGATCGAAGAACCATCATTGCACTCATTGTTATAAGCAATAACAAACGCAACAATGACTTATATCGGAGCCGCGTAATTCCTTCAAGGAGACAGAGCGCCACAAAGTTGGCAAGTGGCGTGATATAGGAAGCGGATAAAGATAAAAAAGGAGTTTCAAGTAATTTACGAGGCGCATTATTGCGATGGAAGCTTAGAACAAAGCGCAACGACGTATTGAAACGGCGCATAACGCAAATTCCTCGAGAATTATAATGGGCTGTTTTTGTCGAGATGCTTTATGATATAGTATGTTCCAAATAAGCATGAAAAAGACAATAATTTCGATCCGTTTAAAATCGTTAGAAAAGTACATTTTGAACAAAAAATATGTTCAAAAAGATTATGTTAAAAAAAACATTTAAAAACTATCTGTTTTTTGACCTTCTTTTTCGTTGTAACTTATTTGAAACG